AAAAAAAAAATGGATAAAAAGGGAAAATCAATAACCCCTTGGGTACTCCATCCCATCGAATATCCATGATTCCTGTTCTCGGCAATTCCTTCTTTGATCATGGATGCGTGAATTCCAAAGCCAGACAACTCGCCTCGTTTGCGTATATGCATCCCTCAGTAGTTACCCTTAAACATGACAAAGTACGTACACAACCCAGACTGCAATCTATATTCCGTAAATTAAAGCACAACCGGCTGAATTAAAGATGACCCTTCTCTTTCATTTGCCCGTTAATAACGACTCTCATTGCCCTTTTTTCAGACGTCTCTCTTTCAAATTTAGATGAGAGGCTGTCATACCGGGTCCTTGACCCATTGAAATGATTATTCCGCGGTCATTGCGGGTGGCAAGGGGTGGGAGGGGTGAGGGGTTGAAGGGGGATGGAAAATTACCGCGAGGGTGACCTCTACCATCATCTCCCTCAGCTTTCTCTTCAATTTTCCAACATGAGCTTTCGGAGATTTCTCTCTTATCGACTCTACACCCGGAAAATTGAAATTGTATTATTTTATTTATAGGTTCATTAATTAATTGATTATTTACCTATTAATTAATAATTTACGTGTTTTTATGTACAGAATAAATTGTATTTTACACTCGTAAGCCAGAAAAATAAATCGAAAAATTTCTCGATTTCCGTGAAAATGAAAATTGGATAAAAATAATTTGCGAATCATCAGTGCGAATTTAACAAATAAAATTAACAATAAAAAAAAATATAGAGTAATATTTTTGTTTTAATTTTTGAAAGAAAAATTTGAAATTCGGAGTGACAATTAAATTCGGAATCGTCAGTTTAAAAAATGGTAAAGGTCAAAGAATGGCGTCCGACCAATGCGAGGAGTTTTCCCTGAAGCTGACGTCATGCCTTCCACTCTGACGTCATCAGCCCACCCATCGATTACCCCCCAGCCCCGCCCAATCTCCCCCTCCCTCGCCCACCCCCCAAACACCCCCAAATCTCTATATAGGGGTAGACCAAGAGCGCCGGCGCACATTTCCGTCTTAAAAATAGAACTCTACGAGGGAATGAGTTGTGGAACGACTTGTGCACAGCAAACGGCTGGTGTTTGTACTAGCCGCCAATTTTTTACCACCCATACCCCACGGGGGACTCGAAACAGTCAGTGCTCCACTTCATCCCTGATTAAACCCCAAAAAACCACCCCCGGCCCCCCCCCAAAAAAAACACCAGCCTAAACCGAAAGATCAGCCTAATCGATAAACCGCGGGAGAGAGAGAAAAAAAATTTCTAAAATGCCAAATAAATGGCGGATCCATTAACCGCGAGTGCATCAGCACCTGAAATCGTCAATTAAATTCACCCCCTCATCCCCTAAAATGCTGACAGTAAACAAGAGGTGAAGTAATCCAGTGATATCCAGTGGGGAAAAAATTAAAAAAGAAGAAGAAAAAAGGAAAATGGACAAAATGTAATCGGATTATTCAGCGGGAGGTGCGCGTGGGGGTGGGGGACTAACTTCCGATAAAGTGATTACATAAACGTTCATCTCATTAACTTCCTCCACTCGTGAATTGAAGTTATCAATAATTGTGAGCACGTGGGGTGGGTGGGGAGGGAGTGAGTACTCCACCACGTGGAAATTACCAAGGCCTATTGAATATTTGTGGTAAATCAATGAGGAATGGTATTTTCAGGTGATTTATCTTTCATAGATCTACGATGATTGAGCATCAATTTTTTTAATTGACGGGTGGGAGGGGGTGTTGGCGGTGTAATGGCGCTTGTTATGTTGCCCTGTGACCTGCCGTGGTGGCCAGCTGTTGTTAAACAGCTGGACAGAGCAGCTATTGCCAGGAATTCCAAGGATCTGCTGGACGCTATGAGAAAAATTCATGACATGTGCAAGTGAGTTCATCTGTATGTAAATCAGGTTCAGACTCAATCCTATTCAGGACCCTCTCGTTGGAAAAACGAGAGTTCGTTTCCAAAAGCAGATGCAGTCTTTTTTGGAAGAGGGTAATTGTATCCGGTGTCAGTTACTTCTGATCCTGGCCTGATCAGGCAGATCATGGGAAATCAGTCTGATCGATCAACTGCCTGATCAGGTGATCACAGAATTGAGAGTATGGAGTGGAATATTTTAATATGGAGCACGAAAATAACAGAATATTTAAAAAATCAGTTTTTTCGTTCTTCTTGATTTTTCAAGTTCTTTTGGACTAATGAGCGACAGCTGTTTTTATATTTTAAACTCTTTTGACTTGTCTCGGTTTAAATGCCTTCATCGTTGGGAGGGAATCCGGGGGTGATGGATCTTTAGGGCGCGAAAGTGTTTGGATCTATATTAATCCGATGATCTCACGAGTTATTTCTCTTTTGTACCGAGGATTCAACCCGGGCGATAGAAATGTCTCTCGTTTGTTCGCATGAGTTTGTAGTAAAACCGACGGATGCCAAGTCCATCCGCGGTGGGATAGTCGTGATTTATTTTTGGAATGATGGGTATTTTGAAAAAAAAATCTAGGTGCTGGTTGTTGGAGCAACCTTCGAGGTTCGTCGCACTCTTCCGTTTTAACTTCTTCCTCTTCCGGAGCGAGTGCTCAGGCCAACACAAAAGCCTTGAGAGTCAATGATACAGCGATATTCATGGAGGAAAATGAACAATCGGAAAAATTGCAATTTAAACAACCAAAAATTCCATTTGACAATTACCCCTGATATTTAAACTCTAATTTCAAAACTCTAATTCAAGTTAATTAATTGTAATTATTGATAACGAACCTTTTGTCCTGGGTAATGATTTTTTTTTCATCTCAAACTGTAGAAAATATTATTACTAAGAATAATTATGGATATTTATTGACGTTTCCTCGTATTAATTTATATATTAATGATAATTTGTTAATATTAACATTTATTTGGTAATATTTAGGTATTGATTTATGTTCATTAATTCTTTAGTATAAGTTTGGATCCGGATGAAGACGAGCAAGACCCCAATCTTTTTACTGGCCTATCAAAGTACGTTGATGAGGATCTCGGTCCTGGTGAACGTGAGCAGCTATTTACCAAGACAATACCGCGTATTGTGGAAAGAGCAAAGGCACTCAGAAGTACTAAACCTCCCCAGGGGTTGTACTTCAGTCTTCAGCAGCAAGGTGACAATTTAAAAAAACACCGAATGATATATTAATATTGTTGTATAATTAATATTGTCACTACGACAAAATTAAATGAATTTCCTCTTGTGTGGGTTTGGAGAGAATAAAATAATTTCGTGTTCTCATTCCTTTTTTTTTCTCATTGCCCCAGGTGATAGCGTTGAGTACACGTACGGATTTACATCGGCTCTTGTTGCCAATGCTTTTTTCTCGACTTATCCCAAACGAACAATTAAAACACATCCGACACTTGGGGACTTCAACTTCACGAACTTCTTCAAGCATTTGCATCTGTAAGTAATTTTTTTTCAATTCCTGCGAACAAATTTTCCAATTTTTACCTTAAATTTTCAGTGAAAAAAATTAATTGTAACTCAGCTTTTGATTAATTGATGTAATTAGATTAATTGATGTTCTTCAAACATTTGCATTTGTGAGTGATTTTTTTCAAATCCTACGAACAAATTTTCCAATTTTTACCTCAAATTTTCAGTGAAAAAAATTAATTGAAACTCAGCTGGTGATTAATTGATGTAATTAGCGTTTTGCACAACCGTTGAATGCGCCCCCCGCAATTAAATCGAATTACTCACCGTTTTATGGCGCACTGAACTTTGCGTGACTATCGATTTAAATATGAGTCCACAATCTTTGACCTTTGCGTAGTACTCCGAGAGCTGTCACGTGTACACGTCTCATAAAAAAAAAAATGATTTTCCATTTACCCTGGATCCTATTGAATCTCGGGGTACAATAGAGCACTTGACATTTTCAGAAACAGCCAGAAAGCCAAACTGTCGAGCATTCTCCAGTACTTTGAGTTCCTCGAGAATGATTCAGCCCTGGAAGGGCGAATGGTCGTCTCCAGGCAGGTAAAATCACCCTGGATTTTCTATAAATTGAAATAAATAAATTTAAAAATAAATTTCATTTCTCTTGAAGTAATTTACAAATTAGTGGACTGATTTTTTTTTTGCCCAGGTGATGACGTCCAAGCAATGGCTGACGATCGAAGACTGGCTAGAGAGCAGTGTACCCTTGTGTCCTCTGAGCATTCGTCACACTGGCCGAATGGAGAGGATTGACACTGACACCAAAGTCCTCCACGTTTGCTTCGCAAGCTCAAGATTCGGTGATGGAGCACTCGAGGATGTTATCAATCAAGAAAGTGTACATGTAAGTAAGTATGTCACTGTGAAAATGTGCCACCTTCACCCAAAAAATTCAATAAGAACGAAAATAGCACAGCAGTCGATTGAATGATAAAATTGTCTCAATGGAAAAATTCTTCGATGAAAAATTCAAAGAATTTTCTTCACAGATATCAACGCATCCGGAAATTCTCGCTGTGATACTCTCTGTCGAGGCCTTGGAGGACAACGAAGTGCTCATCGTAGAAGGCGCCCGACACATCTCCAGGATCAATGATCCCAAGAACAAGGCCGTCTATGAGAGCATACCAAATCCTAATCCCGTTAGTTCAGAATATATTCATTCAATTATCCAGATCTAAACTTTCAATTGAAATGGACAATTTTACAGATTTTTACAGTAATTTTTTATCTTTAGATTACAGTGTGTTGTATGGACCCTGAGGATTACTCAAAACTTCCTCTGTCTCAGTTCGAAGAGGACAATGTCCTTCGAGAAATGAATAAATCCTTGTTGGCTTTTCGTCAGCGGCACACACCTGACAGTCCCACTGACACGATCAAATCGGATTCGGATGCAGACGGTTGTCCAGCGAGAAGACTATCTCCAATCGGTGAAAGCTTCAGCAGTGCATCACCGGAAGTCGAGACTGAGGATAAAAAAATCGCCAGGATTAACGGGAAATTAAGTAAATAAAAAAAAAACGCGAATTCGCCTCCCCTCACTGAATCTTCAAATTTAATTCCAAAATCGTTTTCCCCCAGGTTCCAACGAGACAAACAGTCCCGATAGAATCACCGACGAGAGACCTAGGCCTAACGGAAGATCCACCAGGTCTCAGAGCCCTGGAAAACTTGGAAAAAGTACAAGCAGTGCTAGTAATAGAAGTAGATTCATAGTTTTAGGCTCGAGTGGTGAAGTTTTACCTGTAACGAGACAATCTCTCGGCCAAATGTCGGTCTATGGTAGCTGCAACAGTCAGAGTAGCGAGAGCTTCCACAGCGCTAAGGACACCATCGACGAAGATCTGCCAGATGAGGATGACCATCTCTCGTTCAAGTTATCGAGAAGGTACAGCAATCAACTGGATACACCAGAGCGAAGAGGAACATTTGCTCAACGACTTAAAGAGGCACTAAACAGAGAGAGCACTGCCACTGGTTCCTCTGACAATTCCTCGGAGGGGAGTTATGCTGTGGGAATTAATATCACTGGCAGTCACGTTGGGGATCAGGACATTAAGTTAGTGATTGATGAGGTTTTTAAAAAAAAAAACAAATCTCATGTATTAATATTTCAGACTCAGGAGGGGAGGATCTAGGGGATTTGTTCTGCGTGATGAAACAGTCGACGAGGACTTCCTGAAGGAGTCGTTGGAAGCAGAGCAGAAGTGGCTGGGAAGGTTTAAACAGACTCAGCCTCCAGTGCTCCAGAGGAAGGACACGAATAGCAGCAAATATAGTTTCAGTACTGAATACAGCTCTGGTGAGAATTTAGTGATGGAGAAAATGGCTGTTATGGTGGTTTCATCTTGAGAATTTTGCTCAGAATTGGAAGAAGTGTACGAGCAACTCTCAAAGTGGCTGGACGATCCAATCGCGAGTGACGAGAATCGAGAGATGGATGCGAGAGATCGAGCAGTGGTGCAGTTTGCTGGATCACTTCTGAGGAGAGCCCTCAGTGAATCCTTCGCAGGAGTTCCTGTCCAGGAAGGTGAGCCTCAGCCCCTCCTGGGGCCCAATGACGTCCACCAGAAGCACAAATTGGCGTTGGCGGTGAGATCCCTCAGCCTCGAACTCGCCAGACAGAGGAACAGACGTCAACAATCGGTAATTACACTCTATCAGATTATCAATCAATTTTTTTTGCCACTGATGATTTTTATTCTGGAAGTGATGTGAGATGGAATGAGAGACAGTTGCCAATTCTTTTTGTTCATTAAATCACGAACAAAAGAGGTCTTCTAATTTCTTCTGAAGTAAATCGTAAAATAAATTCACCCATCCCATGTACCAAAAATGAGAATACACAGGTCACAAGTGACGACGAAGATGAGGAGTACTCAGACGCTCTGGATCACGTGAGATGGAAAAAATCACTGTCCGTCACATTCACCTCGACTGTGCTCCAAACTCTGTTCGAGGAAGAAGCCACGGTTTATCTTCGATCGTCAACGTCAGAAGATGAAGAGCCCCAGGAAGTAATAGCAAAATCCAGACAAGAGAATTCGGTGAATAAAATTGACAAGCAAAAAAATCTATCGCCTCGTACTGCATAACAATTAATCACCTGCGATTGGTGTAATTACGCTCAATTATTTCGTTTTGTCATTAACAACATCTGTCTCTCGTTCTTATCTGATCTTTAATCGCAAGGAATGAGTTATTTTTCTAATTGGATGAAGAATATTCCAGCGAATAAATGTAGCATTGTCTTGGTGTAAAGTCGATAGTAATTAACAAGTTTTTAAAAATTTATTGTTGTTTTACGGTTGACAGCTTTTACTACTGAATATTCGTGGAGGCGTGAACTGGGAGAGGAGATGATAGTTGTGATTGTATTTTTGTAGATACCAGGGGATAATAGCCTCCAGGAGGGTGGTTTGTTGCCTGTGGCAAGTGGTAATTGGGGTTGTGGGTCGAGATTAAAGGGTGATCCACAGTTGAAACTAGTTATTCAGTGGTTGGCTGCGTCACTTGCTGGGGTACCCAGGCTCATTTATTACACTTGTGGACACACTAGTCTTTCCAAGGTATTCATTTCAAACTTCATATAAATAAATTATCCATCCATAAACAATTACTCCAGGTGTCAAAAAATGATCAATTTGAGGATAATTAATATCTACAGTGAAACAATGAGAATTGACGTTTAATTAATTTATCTGCTTGTAGTTGGACACTGTCAGCAGAGTTCTGACGGATAGAAGATGGTCGGTAGGTGATTTGTCAACGGCAATGCTGAGATTTGCTGTGCACACACTGGAGGATAGAGTCAAGGGTAGAAACAGTCTGTTTGAAGAGTTGATTGGTGTTGACAAGCCAAGCCCTTAGCCAGACGTTATGCTGTCTGTCATTGTGGACATTATTGCCACAATGATGGAAGACAGCCTGACTGTTGACTCAACGACTTCTTCGTCGTCTTATTTAAGGTAGAGGATTAGTAAATATCCGAACTATCGAAATTCAATTCATTCGATTCGAAGACAACACAAACGATTGAAGATTATTAAAATGTATAAATTAATTTTAAGGCGTTGGGGATGTTGCGTATTTTCGAAAGTGCTTCGTATTTTGACGCTCAAATTGGAACGTAAATGGCTTCACGGAGAAAAAGAATTTCAATGTCAATGTTGATATATATTTTTTATTAATTAATCCTGGAGGAAATATCAATGTCTGATACTCAAAATATATCGGTAAAACGAAATTAAATAGCAGTATAGTACCAGAGCATATCAGTAAACAAATCTACATGAATATCGAGCGTCGAAGATAGAGTAAAATTAACGTTTCAATTGAAAACTATTAAAAAACGCAACTATCCAAGGAATTGTTTCAAAGTAAAAAAAATCAACAGGCAATAATTAACGCGGAACAATACTATTAATTCTATTTTTTACAGTTCGTACAAAAATAGATGGAAGTGAATGAAAATAATGATGTCGGGGAGAAATTTTAAATCAATTAAATGCAAACTTACGTGAGACGGGGTGATGAATTTATAGATGATATTTTAGAATGTTTGTTGTACCATAACATTACGAGACCTTTTCATCAATGGGATTAATAATCATGCTTCGATGTTTAATTAAAGTTTTTCAAAAATCAAAATTGAAAGAAAAAAATGGTGAAAAATGGGGAATAATTCGGGAGAGAAGCGATTCAAATGGAGAGAATCCACTCGACAAAGAAGAGGAATGATAAAGTTGTGGGATATAATTATAACCTGTAAATTGTATATAATAGAGAATTAATAAATTTTTATCGTATTTAAAGAGTTGATTCGATCAACCGGGAAAAAAATATCCATCTTCACTCTTTTTATCTAAATTACTTTAATTCATATTACCTTAAGCTTATCAATTAGTACAGAGTTTTTCTGTTTTTCCATCAATTTCCTTTTACATATTAAATTTATAAATCAAAAGAACAAGTTGCGAATGCGTCTCGTATGGCCAGGACCAATGCCAGCTCTTTCGTACAGAAAATTGAATTTATTGACAAATTGATTCATATCGTTGCACCCTTTGGTTATTATTCCGAGGTAGGTGATGAGACCAAAGTCATTGCATTGCTGTGAAAATTGAAAAATAATATTGAAATTTCATTACCTGCATTTAAATACATTTACGAATAAAGTTATTTTCAAGTGCATAAATATCAAACTCACGTTGTAAAAATCAGATTTGAATTTATCACTGTCCAAAACAGGCAGATGATGTGCTAGAGATCTCGCTGCTCTCAATATTTCATGATTGGGTGTGAGTTCACCTGATTCAACAGCCTGAAGATACATGAGTATGAGTTTGACACGTGAGTGGAGCATCTTTATTGCACTGTGCTGTGCCATGAGGTGTTCAACAACTGTAAAAATTAATTAAATCATTAATTAACTCATTATCACTGAAAAATACGAATTCCATGAAATATTTACCGAGTGAACTTTCTCCTTGGTCATTTGTACACATTCTTGCAACATGGTCAACACCAATTCTCTCAGCTTCTTCGGTGGCTAATGTGTAAGTTAATGGAACAAAAAGCATTGTTGCTTCACCATTGACGAGATCAATTACAGACTCGTACATAGAAACCGACAATTGCTGTATGAGAGACAGAAAATTAGAGCTATTAAATAATTTCACCTAGCTAATGATAAGACAAATTTGTTATTTCAACTCACGTCAGTATTTCTCGGTCGTGGATCCATCTTCAATAGAACTGGACTCTCATTGATAACACACAGCTGTTTATGAACAATAATATCCTTCTCATTGGGCTGATCGCCAGTTGTATACCAACCGAGGAAATCCATCTCACTGAACACCTGTTTGAACTGCTCCTCCTTCGTGTTGTAGTAATCTCTGTCAATGACAATGTCTCCTCCTATCACACTGAACAGCAACTCAAAAGAATTCATTATCTCGATGTTACGTCCCTTTTGCTTTCCAATTAAGGCTCCATAAACTGTCGAACAAATTTCACAATCAATTAATATATCCCGTAATCTCGTAATCTCGAAATACAATTTGAATAATAAAATTACAAAATTGGTCACTGCCCTCCTGCGCCCTGAGTCTCGTCCATTGTTCACTGATATTCATTATAACAAGTGGATGAAGACTAATGGATACTGAACCAACAGTCCCTGAAGATGCCATAACCCTGCACGTGCTCGGATTATCAGATGCAGCTGATGTCGAAGGTTTTTCCATGGCAGCAACTTCCATCGGTGCATCAACAACACCAGCATTGTTCTCATCAATCTCCATCTCGTTCTGATTCGGCTGTCTTTCACTCATCCTCAACTCTATCAATTTTCAGGTTAATTTGTTATTATAATTGTTCTACTGCTCCCTCATCGGCTATCCAACTGTCATTGACATCTGATGGCACGTTATCACTGCAATTATTTTTATTATCAGTAGCTCATTGTACTTGCAAATACAGGACTTGTCCTCAGGATCTTCCGAGAGGATGTTTATAGAGACGAGAAGTTTTTCAACTTTTTCTTTTCTTTGGAGGTTCAGTGACATCTGCCGAAATCGTTGGACATGAGACGGTAAGGTAGATTCCTGAGATATTAATCTGTTAATTATTTAATTATATTCAATGTTCCATTGTAATCAGAAATTTTAACATTCGAATTGTTGATAACATTCAATATTCAGATATAGCGGTTCTTAAAAAAATCTAACCGTGCAATAAATTCCTCGATGATAAAACCCATCAATAATAATCTCGATTAATAATAATCCCATCGACTTTTCTAATCGATAATCATCGATCAATCGACTAACGGAGAATCGTAAATATTCGTAATATTTACTTTAATCCTAATATAAATTCCGAAATAAAAAACACATTAAAAAATCAATAAATAAATATATCCGTATATCTCCATTTAAATATATCTATTTAATCATATTATTTAACGGCAATCAATTTTGTACAAAAAAATCAATTTCATTTTTGGTGAATGACACCGGAAGTGATAACTTATTAATTACAGAGTAGTTTATTTATTTATTTCCAGGCGGATGAATTTTTCATTTAATTATAATATTGTCATATAATCATATAATAATATAATGATATATAATAATATAATGATATATAATTATTTAATAAACATTTTTTAAGGGTGTCCACCTAGTGGGTATATCTGTGAAATGTCATGGCGACATCTAAACTAACGCGCGGATTAAATTTTATTCAGTTCGCTCCGAGCCTTCAATGTGGTCATATCGTGTGGCCGGTGGTGTACTCAATTCTCCGAAAAGATAAACACCTGAACAGCCAATACAATAGGACAGTTCTATTCATAATAAATCCAGTGTTTTGATTCTTTACTGTTGTTTTTCGTGACAAGTTAACAGTGCGAAAGTTCAAGTTCATCCAGAAGACGTACCATCAACCGGAGATATATATTTCCTATGCAGTTACTACGAGTGAATTCAATTGTTTGTGAGTACAAAATAGAAGAAATAATTAGATCTGTCGATTTATTCGTCATCGTGAGAGGTCAATCTAGATTTAGTTGCAGAATCACTGATTGTCACTCATTAATTCCGTTAATAGAACAGTTCAGGTCATTAGTGGTTGGATTATACCGGGGCTAGGGATTTCTCATTGTTGGAAATATATTTATTTCATGAAAAAAAAATGAGTTCCTAGCGGGAGTGAAATTGGAATTTCATGACGTGATTAAATTTTCAATTGCAAGATGTTAAATCTCCGGGGAATTGCAAAATTGCAGGGAAAGAGGATTAATAATTCCACAAGTCTCTAGACAAAGACATTTTCTGGCTCCGTAATTAACAAAAATTACTAAAACCGATTTCGGACTCGGTTACCCAAGATTTAACATTCCTTCCACCGCAGATTGCACAAACTCTCATTATGGGATTATCAAGTTATTGTTTACAGAATTAAATCTGTAAACCTTCATTGTTTACTCATTCACAAATTCCGTGAAATTATGCAACTAAATTCTTGAAATCCGTGTATAAAATTCTCCTTTAAATTCCTGACATAATTTGTTGAATTATAAATAAATTCAAATGGGAGTGTACACTTAGTACCCGCAAAAGTGTCTGTCAAGGTCGACCTTTTCACAGACTCACACGCAATGACGACAGAAAATAAAACATGAAACTCAAAATGTACGAGAAACCTCAGAAGTTCACAATGCGACATAAAATCATTCATGTGTAATTTCCCTATTTATTCTCATTGCTCATAAATTCCCTTGAATTAAACTAAAACAAGAATTTTAATAATCATTATCCACGACTGAATGTCTTATAAGGATTACTCCCACATTTTCCATGGGATAAAAAAATATTTCCAACAGTGCAGCCTTGGGGATTATTTTCACACTTACTTTTTGAACAATTCCAATAACGAGGAAGTCCAAATCACGAGTGTGTTTACATCCCTTTCCTCTTTAGCGACAATAGTGGAGTTGGTGTATTATTTTATTTTTTATCCTTTGTTGTTTTCGCGTCACTTAGTTGCATGACAAAAAATCGTGATCACTGCAGATAATATCTCCAGTAAATTAGCGAAGTCGGATAACCGCATCTCAACTAGCCTCTGATGATGGCAAAATTCCGAAAGAAATTCCTGATGAATTGAAAGGGATAACTTTGAAGGACAGGTGTATCATTAGGTATTCGTATCAATTTACTCCGAAAGAGAGGAATCATAACTATGAGATAGTGACGTCACAGGTAGAGAGAGCAGAGGCAAAAGAGGTTTTAACTAGGTCAGAGACTCCATCGGATCCAAGACACCATCCACTCCATCTGGGCCTTTACATCCGCCCCAATTAATTGTTATTATCAATAATGCCAAGTGCAAACTCAAAGCATTCGAGATTTGAGGCCCTCAGTCCCTTTGCCTTATATATCTCGGTATTGAAGGAAAATGGCGATATTTTCATGGATGCATTTTTTGTAGATCTCGACGAGATCTAAAAAAAAGGTATCTGTGAAAATATCTCCATCTTCCTTCAATTTCGAGGTATTTCCTAAAAACTGGCCTGGAAAAACGTGCACTTATTCTAGTTCAGCTGAAAAGAGTGATAAGTCTGGAGTAACATGAAGTCTCCACGTGGTCATTCATCAAGATGAGACTTGACATGTACTGGGGAAGGTGGTTTGTCTTTGTATTCCATACCGGAACCATTGGCTTCCTCATGGTCTTGGAGAGAAAGTCGACGTGTTCACCAGGACACTTAGGAAGCCACTGTTATTTCTTGTTGATGCCTATCCCCACCACCTCATGGTCCAACTCGATAAATTGCTCTGTGAAAGTTCAAATAATTCCAATCGATTATGGTTTAATTATCGGAGGCATTAGTTTAATTAATTATAGGAAGTCTTCCTTGAAACTTGAGATTTATTTCGATTTCATTTTTATTCTTCCACTTGATTTTTTCTAATTCCTGAAGTTGCGATTTCTTTGAGTTCTCGTTTGAGTCTTCAACAATTATTCAGTCTTCTCTGTCTAATATACAGAAAATTGTCTGGATAATTTCGTTTATTCATAAATTCTGGGAATTGACGTGGGTAGAATAGCTCTCTTTGGCGGAAATAATTTCTCAACATCTCGAAATGTCTCGAAGCGTTCTAGTAAAATGGTCCAGACGTGGAAGCTGGATATCACCTTGAGTGAAAGCTGTGGTGATCGGTAATGGTTGCACCGGTTGTTATACCTCCTGGCAAGGTTAGGGGCATCTCGATGAAAAAAAATAGCCGCATAAATACCTGAGTGACCAGTTGGTTACGATTGAGTGAGTGTCCCCAGAAAGTCAAGTGATTTCAAGTGATAAACCCTCGGAAGCCCCTGAGGAATGCCAAGGGAAATCCCGGAGAAGAAAATCACCTCGACTCGAGAAAAAAAATTCAATTTCTTCATCAACAAATTCCACTTGATAATCAGGTTCTTCAGAATAGAACACTTCAATTAAGGATCAATTATTGATCAGCATTTCTTGAGTGTCACTTGTAAAATTCATTCACGTTTGAAAATTCAATTTATTCGAATAGATTAGGTCTTCTTTTGGAATTAAAAATTTTGGGAACGAAAATGGCATGAGCTCTCCACTCAATTCACATGAAAGTTCCAGATTAGATTCGCCATTTAGTGAATTGAAAATTTTATGATTTTTTCTCATTTTGTTATTTACTCATTCGATAAAATCGATTTTAGAAAAATAAGAAACGATATCGCGGCTGCATTTCTATCACAAACTTTCGTGCTTCGATTCTCGAAAGAGAAAAATCTAGAACGATGAGATATTCGCGATAACAACGGGTCAAGCAAGGGAAAACTAATCAATTATTGATAGAGGTGTATGCATACTAATGATGAAAAATTTCACTTTCACTGAGACCAGCCGTTGACTCCAACGGACATGCACCGGTGCAAGATGAAAAAAAATTTTTTTTCTATTTTACTTTCTTTAAAAAAAAAGTGAGTGATGTAATTTGTGGCCGTGATTCATCTCGAGTGGTTCCAAGGGGTTAAGCATCGGTATTTTGAATACATTATCATAATTGGATTTAATCAGCTGGTATTATTCAATTCGCAATGACTTTCGTGTGTTGTCGGTCAACAGATGTTGACAGATGTGGTGCCACTCCCCAATTGTCTGACGATTTGAAAATCAAATCGCTTTTTTCATTTAAAAAGTAGAAAAGAGTTCAGTAATTTTCAGTGTTAACTATCTCTTGATACAACATTGTAGAAAAAAAAGAGTTATCTAATTATTTGGCTGTTGACCCCGAAGGCATCAGACCACTCCAGTGCCCGTTACTTTTATCGTTCGAACATTGTCTCCAGCTGATTCTTCAATGAGTTGGACAACAAATAAGAGACTGAATTCTCGAGGGGAATTCAAGTCTTTTCTCACTCGGGCAAACTCAAATAATTTCAGGGGATATTGTGTGGGTGGAATTCAAGGACACCAAAAATTTTTAACTGTCATTTCGGTATGTGGATAACTGTTCTGATGAGAAATTAATTCAAAGCAACAGGAACCGTTTTTTATATTTCAAATCTCGACGTTGGGGCGAAGAAACCGTTGGATTTTTTTCGAATTGCTGACCGTTGGGGTCAGTTTTCAATTCCGATTCATCGGCTTAATTACGCGGGTAAAAAAAAATTGTAATCGGAATATTTTTTCCAAATTTTCAAAAAAATTTCTGAAAAACTTAGAAAATTTTTTTCATGAAACAAAATAAAATCGGAAAATAAAATAATTTTATTTTAGAGAGTTTTATTTTAGGTTTTAAAAAATTTTTTGCATCCCGTTTTTTTTTGTTTCAAAAAAAAATTTCTAAAAAATTTTCCCGAAATTTTTTAAAAATTTGGAAAATTTTTCACTACAATTTTTTTTTTACCCGGGTGAATGAGATTCAATTTATCTTAGACAACTAAATGAATTCAAGTGATTTTTTTTCTTATTCTGACTGAAGTGCTCGCTGTATTGAATGATAAATTCAGACACTCGGAATGATAACCGTTATTACGTCGGCCATATAATAGACGTTTACCTAGTAGACAGGGCAATCGTATTTTCTCCACTAATGAATAGTTATTCGTTTACACGGGATATTCACTTATGAATCACTATAATACTCTTCAACCTCTGATTGTCATCTGGGCCTTGGGGAGTCTCGTCTCCTCATTTCGCAAATTTCACCTCCACCTCGATATTTATTTACCTATTTACCTCTCTGTTTTCATCGAGATGTTGAATGAGTCGGACAATTGTCTTCGTCATACGACTAAAATCGGATATATTTCCGCTCGATATAATGCCCTGGGTTTTAACTATTTACAAGTGGACTATTGAGACTTGTTAGCCAAGTGGGTACAAATGCATGACAGATAACGAGACTGTAATCAGGTACGATATTACACTCGTTGTCAAGTCCAATGTCAATTGTTCTTTGTTTGCTTGAGAGCTGTGAGGTCTGTCCCTGGAACATTAGGCCCAGTTGTCATTCCCTGGAACATTAGGCCCAGTTGTCATTCCCTGGAACATTAGGCCCAGTTGTCATTCCCTGGAACATTAGGCCCAGTTGTCCTTCCCTGGAACATTAGGCCCAGTTGTCATTCCCTGGAACATTAGGCCCAGTTGTCATTCCCTGGAA